AGCGCCCTTAATACCACACCACCCGCAGGCCACCCCCTTTTTTTTAATTAAATAAATATAATTTTTAAATATATGTATGAGGCTTTAAAACCTCTCCTTTTTTAAAGAGAGATTTTTTGCTATAGGATGCGTGCGTTCGCCAGAGAGACAGAGACAGAAAGCAAGAAATCACCCCCCAGGGGGGATGGCCATGTCACAGTCCCTTCTCCTCCATTCTCCTCTCAGGATTTTGGGAACACATGTACCTGTGCCCAGCATGAGATTTTTTTTTTTTAAAGAACTATTTTATTTAACTCTAGTTATTTTAATTTGACCAGAGAGAGACAGGGAGAGAGAGGGAAAGTGAGAAAGCCACCAGATCCAGGACTCGAACCATAGTCAGCAATGTGGAAGTCCAGCGCCACCACTGGCCCCTCGGGATGAGTTTTAAGCCACCAGGTCCAGGACTCGAACCATAGTTGACTATGGGAATCTAATGACATAACTGTTAACACCATCTGCTGGTCACTTTTTTTTAAATTTTAATTTTATTTATTTGGTTTTTTTTAAAAGAATTGTTTATTTTTTAATTTTATTTATTCATTTATTTTATTTTAATTTGACCAGAGAGAGATACAGAGGGAAGGAGAGAGAGAGAGGGAAAGTGAGAAAGCAAGCCACCAGGTCCAGGACTCGAACCGTGGTTGGCCATGTGGGAGTGTCCAGCGCCTTAACCACCACGCCACCTGCTGGTCCCAATTTTATTTATTTGTTTTAATTTGACCAAAGAGGGACAGAGTGAGAGAGAGAGAGAAAGAGAAAGAGAACTGAGAAAGCAAGCTGCCAGATCTGGTACTCAAACCACTGTCGACCATGTGGGAGTCCAGTACCCTTAACCACTATACCACCTGCCAGTCCGACTCTTTTTTATTTATTTATTTTGTAATTATCTTATTGGAACCGGCGTGTGGCATGGTGGTTAAAGGCTGAATTCCCACATGGCTGACTGTGGTTTGAGTCCCAGACCTGGCAGCTTGCTTTGTCACTTTTCTCTCTCTCTGTGTCTCTCTGGTGAGCGCATGTGCCCTATGGCAAGTTAATAATGATAATAATATTGGGACTAGCAGGTAGGTGGTGTGGTGGTTAAGGCGCTGGGTATTCACACATGACTGACCATAGTTTGAGTACCGGACCTGGCAGTTTGCCTTCTCACTTTCTCTCTCTCACTCTGGTCAAATTTAAATAAACAAACAAATAAATAAATAAGGTTAAATAAAATAATTCTTAAAAAAAAAAAAAAAAGCCCACCTCTTTAACAAATAAAATCACTGTTACAGGACCAGTAGATGGTGTAATGGCTATGTCGCTGGACTCCCATGTAGTTGACCAGAGTTCGAGTCTCAGAACCGGTGGTTTAAAACTCATGCCAGGTGGGACCAGCAGTTAGTGTAATGGCTATGTCGCTGGACTCCCATATAGTCTACTGCGGTTCGAGTCCCAGACCCGGTGGCTTAAGCTCACGCCAGACGAGTGTACATGTGTGCCCAAGATCCCGAGAGGAGAATGGGGAAGAAGGGATTGTGGTGTGGCCATCCCCCCTGGGGGCTGATTTCTCACTTTCTGTCTCTCTGCCTCTCTCTGTCTTTCTGGTGAGCGCACGTGCCCTATAGCAAAAAAACTCTCAAAAAAAAAAAAAAATCTCCTGCCGGGTGCATGTGCCTGCATACCCAAAATTCCTAGAGAAGAAGGGATTGCAGCGTGGCCATTCGCCTGGGGGGTGATTTCTCGCTTTGTGTCTCTCTGGCGAGTACATGTGCCTTATAGCAAAAATCTCTCTTAAAAAAAAATCACTGTTATGGGACCAGCAGCTGGTGTAGCAGTTACATCACTGTAACTCCCATGTGGCCAACTAGTTCGAGTCACAGACCCAGTGGCTTGAGAATCATGCTGGACACGTGTGTACATGCCCAAGATCCTGGGAGGAGAATAGAGAAAGGATTACAGTGTGGCCATTCCCTCGGGGGGTGATTTCTCACTTCCCCCTCTCACTGTCTGTCTCTCTCTCTCCCTGGGACGGGCACACGCACCGTAATGCAAAAAACTCTAAAAAAGAGAGAGAGGGAGATCACTTACAGCAGCTCGCCCTGCTGAAGGCATTCCGTGGGCCGCACGTGTGCGGAGCACCTTGCTGTGTTTTCCTTAGTCCTGAGTGTGCTTTGGGTTGGTACAACTGTTAGACCCATCTCACTGATAAGAGAACCGAGGCAAAGGAGTCCTTGTCCAGAGTACTGTGCCGCCAGTGATGCAGGCTGCTTCCCGAGCCCTAGCTGCCAGCTGCCACGCCTCCACCTCCGCCTCCGCCTCCTACAGAGTCCCAGGGCACTGGGGAGCCGCGGAAGGTTGTGACCAAGGTGCGACATGATTTCTTTCAGCCAGATCTCCTGGCTGTCATGTGGAAAAATGGGTTGTAGGGAACAGGAGAGCCAGGGAAAAGGTTTGAGGCCTAGAATGGGGGACAGTGAGAACAGAGCGGGGATAGATTCGAGGGGGAAGAGGCTGACAGCATGTGGGGGGTTGGAGGTAGTGGCTCTGGCTGGTGTGAGGGACCTTGAGGTGATGGAGAACCCAGGAGTAGGGGTCAGGATGAAGGCAGCAGGTGGGATGTTTGGGACTAGGCGGCTTGAGGGTCTGGGGGAAGCGTCAGGGCAGTGGTGAACTTGGGCTGGCAATCGGGGGAGAGGCAGGATGGAGTTAATGTCGTGGGGTCCCGAACCCCTGGGGTGGCGGGTGATTGGAGTGGCAAGCAGAGGCCTAGCCATAGCCCTGGGGATCCCAGTGGAGAAGCAGAGCCAGAGCAGTGGAAGCTGGCGTGGACTCCCGACTGGACAGGAGTGACTGACCAGTGGGAAGGGTGCTGGCAGGACCTGACCTGGGGGGGAGGGTACGTCCCCCACGTCCCATCCTGACCTGCCCCAGTGGGTTGGGGTCTGTGTGGCACCCACCTCCTGAGAGTGGGGCCTCCGAGGGGCTGACAGGTTCGCCCTGTTGCCTGGCAACTGAGAGAGCTGTTGGCTGTTGCTAGGAGCCAGCCGGGGAGGCCAAAGCAAGGATCGGCTTGAGCACTGGGTGGGGCTGGCGGGGGAAGGGCCGGCCTTGGAGCCTGGTTGGTGGAGTGTATGTGGACAGACTGTGTTCTTGGCTGTGCGCACCCATTTTTATGGTGTGCTCTGTGTGAAGCACGTTGGAGGCAGGGCTACGTGTGGACTCATTTCTCAGTCCACTGCTGTTCGGGCCCCTGGTGGGGATTATATGTTTTCACCGGGCTCATTAAAAGCCTGTGGCAGGACCTGCTTGAGCATTGGAGGCCTGAGAGAACCATGGGAGAACTTAACAGACCCATGGCCCCTCAACAGGGCAGACTCAGACAGAACCACACAGCTGGGGCCTCGGGGCCACCAGGACACCACCTAGGTCATCCTTGGCGACCCCTCAAATGTCCAGTTGAGGCTGGCCTGTGGGCTTCTCATAAAGAGCAGGACCAGAAAGACTTGAGGCGTCAGCTAGAAATGTAAATGCTACTGCTGGGTGGGGATGGATGTGGGAGCGTGGCTACCTCCGGAAGTGGACAGGCCAAACAAGGGACAGACCACAAGATCATGGCCACATTCGTTCCCTGAAGTCCAAAGGCAACTCCTCTCTTCCACTTGAGTCCTGGTTGTCTAGTCCCAGGTTAGGGTCCAGGATGGCTGCCTGGAGGAGGCTGCCTCCCAGTTGATCAGGGAAGGCTAGATGGACCCTGGGCAATTAGAGAGGGCACCAAGCTGGGGGAGACACCTGGGCAGAGGTGTAAGGGTGGCAATCGGCTTTTTATTTTTCTGCCACCGAGAGAGAGTGAAGGACACAAACCTGCCTCAGGCCTGGGAAAATACAGTTCAGAAAGGCTCCCAGGTTCTTTAAGTTCCGAAGCGAGTTTATTGGGTTCATTAACAAGTGACGAAGACACACCTCTTTCGTACTACTCGACTAACTCGCAGGAGCTCAGAGGGCTGGCTCCTGCTCGGCCCGCGAGGCACCACCGGATCCCCACTCTCAGGCTAAGAGACCTGCCCCCGCTGTCCCGCAGCGGAGCTCCAGGCGCTCCGCACCCAATCGGAGCGCGGCCCCGCCTGCAGCCCGCCCAGAGCCGGGTCCTGAGTTTGATTCTACCCCTGCTGTCTGCCCTCGGCGTAGCCCCGCCTCCAGCCCAGGCCGGAGCCTGGGCTGCGCCTAACTTCTCCCGTCGCCCCGCCCTCCAGCCAATCACCAGCCCCGAATCTCCTCTGGCCCCACCTCCA